AAAAAGCGAAAACAGCTCTTCGATAAAAGCTAGCTGGTCGAAAGGGCTGTTTTCGCTGATGGTTGTCAATCGACTGACCGTAGAGCTCGGGTGTGATGAGATCATTGATCGAGAGAAAAGGCAGACCTTAGCGAACTATACGAAGAAAGCAGAGGACGACAGAGGCACCTCCGAACAGGCGAGGGCGACATGGAGGTAGGCCGCGGGGCCCGCGGGCCGGCCCCGGAGGAGGGCCCCATGGAGGAGGAGGCCGCGCCGTCCGCCCGCGCCCAGCGCGGCCTGTTCCCCGAGGCTGGCGCAGACCTGGAGGGCGACGAGTTTGATGACTGGGAGGACGACTACGACTTCCCGGAAGAGGAGCGCTGGAGCGGCGCGATGCACAGGGTGTCTGCCGCGCTGGAGGAAGCCAACAAGGTGTTCCTGAGAACGGCGCGAGCCGGCGATGCCCTGGATGGCGGCTTTCAGGCGCGGTGCGAGAAGAGCCCTTTCGACCAGCTAGCTTTTATCGAAGAGCTGTTTTCGCTGATGGTTGTCAATCGACTGACCGAAGAGCTCGGTTGTGATGAGATCATTGATCGAGAGTAAATGCTGACGAAAGAGGAGGAAACTACCTGAGAGGGAGAGATTCAACATTCTGCTATTTTTGGGTTCATTCCAAATAGTTTTGTGCACACAAAAAAATAACGGTTTTTGTTTCTCGGAATAGAAGACAAGCCAGTGAGTGACCGTGCAGTTGTGGAAAAGGAGAATCAAGGAAGGAGGGGCTCAGCAAAAAGCTCTGGTTCAGACTATTGAACGAGATGATTTTTCTTGCGTCGGAGAAGAACTTTCTTGTGTTAAGCTTGTAAAGATGGTTTTGCAAGAGAAAATCGTGACTGCCAATACAAGAATCTAATGAAAGAATAAGGAAAAAATACATCCACAAGATAACTTTGATTCGAACTGAAAGCCTGTTGAGAAAACTTTCCAAATTCTATTTTGTGGTTTATGTAAATCAGTTATCAAAAGCTGAATTTGAGATTTAAGATTGAGTATTCATCCCCAAAGGATAAGCAAAGTAATTATGCGTGTATAAGTGTAAACGTGTTATCATGTGTACTATCATCTTAAAATGTGTTACAGAAGCTACTGGAATTTTGACTGCACTTGTATCTTCATGATTTATAAAGCTACTGTGACCTGTAATTTGGAAAAAATCCATTGTGATGATTTTTAAAGTTAAAAAAACAACCAAGATGTCATTTTTTTAAAGTTTTAAGTTCATGCATTAAAATGTGTGGGAAAGCCCAAAGACAAACTTTCTAATACCCTTTTATACTAGGGACATTTTGCTTGCTGTTTTTTTTACCTTGACAGATGGTAAGACTATAGCTGAACTTCATATTGTAAGAACTGTTTGTGAAAATTGTCAAGAGCAAGGAAATCCTACCTGTATCTATAAAAGATTTTATGAGCTATTATGCTGTCAGACTTTGAAGGTTTTCAACCTGCTCAGAAGTCCACCTGGGTACCTGATACTCATATTCTCTCCTCTCTCCCTCTCTTCCTCTCCCTCCTTCTAATTATGCTTGTTAGTCCTTATGCACCAGCATTGGCGATAATAAATTTTCCTGTTCTGTGTATTTTGTTTTGTCTAATAACTTTGCATACATAACATAACCTTATACAAAATTCTTTTACATTGCATGCATCTTAAAATCTTAAGCCAGTGCTTACAGTGTAAACGAACCGTTTTTAGTTACCTGGCAAATGGATTCTGAGAAGTTAAGATTAAGTAAACTGAAGAATTTTCTGAAAGAATTGACCAGTCAACGGAAACCACTCTGTGCTTTGGGTTATTTGGTGAAGATGCTCAAGTTCCTTGAGTGGTAATTGCACCAAAGGTCTTGACAAGAAAAATGAATGTATTAGCACATCTTTTATGATGAATTAAAAAGTCCTGAGTGTTCCTGTGCCATAACGGCAATATAAGACAGTAGGTTAACTGTAAGGGTTTCGTGAGGTTTTCTGTTTATTTGTTTGGGAGGCTGGGCTGATGAGATGGTTCCGTGGGCAAAGGCACTGTCTGCCGTACAGCCAAGACTGATGCCCCGAGTGTGAGCTCAGGAGCCCACGTGGTGGAGGGAGGGAAGTGACTGCCCCAAGAGTTGTAGTTAGACCTGAGGTTCTAGTCCGCCCTCCGGCTCCTGCGTAGCACCTGTTCGTGATTCTGCCCCAGTTGCCTGTGGTTTCAATAGGTGCCGAAATACATGAAAGGGGGAAGCTACCCGACATGGGACTCTGTTTAACTGACATTTGGGAGGCTGCCACCCATGTTAGGATGTGACCTTCTGTAGTGCAGGTCTAAACATTGAGTAACCCCGGCCCTCCTTTTTATTTACCCAATAAATTCACTGACTGACTAGTTGCCCTTGGAGGAATCATCGATTTGATTTATTGGTGTCTATTTGGGGTAAATTGCTCACACCTCCCCTGGAAAAGTAATGGCAGTGTCCACAAAGTTGAATGTATTTAAGTTTGGGGATCAAAGTATATCATGAAAGTTAGGAGGAGCCATGCATTGGTATTTGCGTGTATGTGGGGAGGGTGCCTGCCGTAGCAAGCCGAGGTCAAAGGATAAGCCGAGGTTAAGGAGTTGGTTCTCTCTTCCCACCAAGCGTGCCTGGGAATCAAACAGGTAATCAGGCTTGGTAGCCTATCTCACCAGCCCTTATTCTCTTAAATTTCATGACCTTTCAATAGTTAAACTAGTCATTTGCTCGTGCTATATCCATGAGGACTCTTCCACTGACTTCATCCCTTCAACATTTTAACTGTTCTTTGCATGGTATATATGAAGCAAATCTCAAAATCTAAAACTTGCATGATTCCAGAGGCCCCTGCTCATGACTGCAAGCAGTAACAATGGGCAGAAGAGTCTCTAAAAAGCCCAGCTAGGCTAGTTGTGCAGAGAGCCCCAGAGATGCAACTTTTGTGAGTCCTCATCCATGTGGGATGGGTCTTTATTTTTGCCCTGAGCAGCTGCCTTTGAGGTCATCCACGCACTTCTAAGTAACCCCTCACCCATTTGCTATAAGTAGGCTCGGTAAACTCACTGCTCACTGAGCTAGGTTTGGGTGGAGCTGACGGGTCTGTCCTCGATGCCTTACCTGAGGCAAACAGGTGTTTGCTGACATCTCCCCAGCAAAAGTCATACAACACACCTCTGCCTGCTATGGCTAAAGAAGAATAGTGGTGAGAAGAGACAGGCTGGGCAGTGCCTCACCACCGTGTGCACCAAAACCCCATTGTTGACAACCCCCCAATTCTCTTTAGTCTTTCCTTGGAAAGGGTCATTCAAAAACAATTAGCCAGAGGTGGTGGGATACACCTTTAATCCCCATGCTCAGAAGGGAGAGACAGGATCTCTGAGTTCAAGGCTAGCCTGGTCTACATAGCAAGTTCCAGGACTACCATAGAGAGACTGTTTCAAAAGCAAACAAAAACCCAAACAAACAAAAACTGATGATTAGATTCTGCACCTGAGGCTGTCACCAGGATATCTCCAGCTTTGCTTTTTAAAAACAATAAGTAATTGGAGTAGTTCAATGAGATGTCAACCCTAAACACAGTGAGTCCCTATGGTACCATATACAAGTAAAACCAGAACTGCAATTTACATATGCAAATACCCTGAGGTCCTAATGGATGAATGGATGAAATTTCACTTGTGTTGCATCTTCCGCCTTTGCCCCTCAAAACTCTGCAGCACTGTGCTCACTATGATATCACCTATACTTGGATAGATAAGCAACCCCCACCTAAACAAGACTACTATATTCTTTCATAGTCAACAGGGTCCTCTGAGCTATTTTATACTACTAAGTGAGCTGTACACTTCATCATCAGAAAAAAAGCAACAGTGAAGCTGTTGACGGCTTTGCATATTATGCTTTTGCCTTCTTTTGCCTGAAAAGGCCTTGGAGAAAGGATGAGTAAACAATATCGGGCACCACATTGCCAGCATTGTGCTAAGGAATTTGCATTCATTACCTCACTTAATGACCTTATAACAGTATTCAAATGATGCAAGGAGCCTTGTAAATAGGTAGTGTGACCCAGAGGTCACCAATGAGCCATCCATGAGTCCTTGGTAAACAGTACTCCCTATAGGAACAGCCTCAGTTACTGTATATTGGACACAGAGCAACATCAGGTTCCAACATGCACAAATAACCTGGCATGAGCATCTTTCACTGTAGTTGCCATACATGTTTAGCCCAGTGTCTGTGCCTCTTTTACGTGTGTTGCAGTAGAGTGGTTCTCTAGTGAGTAAACTTTGCAGGAAAACCCAGGCAGACCTTAACATCCCAGGTCATGAAAGGAAAATGATGTCCACGTTGTTACATCTTAGAGAGCGTTCAACTAAAAGGCCTGGACGGTATCACTCCCTGCACACGTTTCAGTTAACTGCTTTTGTGGGGGGCTATTCTCTGAGCCAGACTACCTCCATCTGCAAGAATTCAGTGGACCTATTTGAGAAAGATCAGTCAACAAAACTTGACATTCCCTCGCAAGAATCCTCAGTGGAGTATCCAGCGACTCCTCCCAACTAGTTGAATGCAATCCTGCCCTAATTGCATGTGTTCTCAGAGAGGGGCTAGGACTCCATAAGGTGGGATAGTCGGGCTCTATCTACACAGCCATAGGAGAGTCACCATCCATACTGGGTGCAGACTTCTCAATGTGACTGTTTCAAAGCCATCCATGCTCCTGCCTGTAACCTTTCACCTATGCTTTCTAAGTGAGTCAACTTCCTTAGTTCCCCAGGTAAACTTTGGGGAACTGTACAATTTGTCAGTGGGACTTTATGAGAAGAGGAGGTAAGTATTGTCTAGTCCCCCACTCCTGGAGAAAATTCTATAGCACATTAACCCCATGCTAACCCCGATAGCACCTTTGCTCTTTGTCCTTCATCTGACTTCAGTCCAATAACCACATCAGGGATATTAACTGGCAAATAATATTAGCTATGTCCTTTACCTTTGGTTCCTTATACAGAACCAATGAGGTGCAATAAGTGGTTTTGTAGGCAGTTAAACTCCACAGCAATAGTAACACTGTTAGGAACTCTAATTACTGAGTGCATAAATCTTGGGACATTTTTCTCTTTGTGGCTTATTAAATTGTAAGCACATTCTGACACCTTATTCTCTTACTAACCACAGACTTCCAGGAAAAAAAATAAAATGCCAAACTATAATCATTGGTTACCTTACCTGTTGGTTGTCAAGGTTCATCAGTACAAGGCTGCAAGTCGACACGGTCAGTTTTATATTCATTCCTGAAAACTGAAGATTGCTTTTGCCAAGAACCGTTGACAGGGACTTAACAGGAGCCTTTAAAAATAGCAAAGCATCGCTGTAAGTTACGGATGTGTACCGCCTCCTCTCTGTTTCATTTTCTATAAACCAAATGAGCCGGAATGGTTGTGTGGTAGGACTTTACCAAAGCCTTCGCTCTTCATGGGTTATGTGGGTATCAGAGTGTGTGTGTGTGTGTGTGTGTGTGTGTGTCAGATGAGCAGTGCCAGGGCATGCTGCCTGAGACATCTTGACACAGATTAGAGACGATGTCATGCTATGGACATCGCAGTACTTCACCGCACTTACAGTCTCTGCTCTTAGGAAAAACAGTGGTTTGTCTACAGAGAGAAGACACATTATTTTCCAACTGTCATTCCTTAGCATATTGGTATCAAATTATTTTATCTTTGTGTTGCATTATATTCCAATGCAGGATTATCAAGGAGAAGTTGTTGTCTGAATCATTCACTTGAGTTTCATAAAATACCATTAAGGGAATTTTGGCCTGAGATTGGGTCGAAATTTCAAGGAATTTCTGAAATGGTCCTAGACACACTTCTGCCACTCAGTACTACACACTTGTATGAAGTGTCATTCTCAGTCACTTCAGTCACAAAATAGAATGCCCATTAAATCTGAAGATTGGATAAGATGTTCTATAGTCTGCATTATCAAATATGCTGCCAAAATTGAACTCTCTATATGGAAACTGATAAGCACATCCTCATTAGTATGCATGTGGGCTTTCACCGTTAGTGACTGTTTTCAGAAATCATGTATGCTAGATGACTTTTAGTTCTTATTTATTATTATCAGTTTATGTGTGCCAACGTGTGTTTATGAATGTTGGCATGTGCATGTCACAGCACATATGTGAAGGTAAAAGAAAGTCTTTCAGGAGTTGGTTCTATCCCTCCAGCTCTATAGCTGGGGTCATGGAAACTCTCATGCTGAGGATCTCCCCAGCTGTCTAGCTCAGCCAAGGTCCCAGCTTCCACCCTCAGAACACATGCATTCACACACACACACACACACACACACACACACACACACACACACACGAGAGAGAGAGAGAGAGAGAGAGAGAGAGAGAGAGAGAGAGAGAGAGATGAGGATTTGCATTCCTGTAATCTCTACAGCGGAGGGCAGAAACAAATTCCTTGAGCTCACTGGCCAGCTAGCTTAGCCTCCTTGGCAAGTCCAAGGGCAGTAAAAAACCCTGTCTCCAAAACAAGAAAACAAACAAACAAACAAATCAATAATAAACATGGAGGGAG